GTCAACCAATGAGATTAATACACATCAAGGTCAGAAAGGTCAACAACGACGAGGCTCATTTCATTCATAGATTGTTGTAAAATATAATAGTACTTCCAAATATGGCATACATTTCTTGGAAACGGAATAACATGAACATTTCTAGAACATTGATGAAGCAAAGTAAACAGACTACCGCAGACAGAATGAGTGCTGCAATATTTCTGTTGGTAAATGTCCAAGTAATTCCATAACAAATTTCATTCTTTCACTAGTTTATATGAAATTAAGTTTCCAATACATTAGTGACCTGTAAGAGCATGTTGAATATGAATGGTTATATACAGTTGTGTTGATTTGACCATGACTAATATGGATCGTGGGCACATCCAAAATGTCAGACTAAGTTTTGGGTGGATAAAATGAACTGCTATCAACAATGATTTGGAATTCATTATAACAAGGTTTTACTGTATGTCATATACATTTGAGATGACCAAACACCCTGACATGTCCATTAATTGTGTCTTAGACATTAACCTGCGTGAGATTGTTACAATACAGCAGGATGAATATATTGGCAGCAACAACTTAAAGGTTTTCCATTCCCTCATTGCCCTGGCAGACATGTGGTTTGGATGGGACAGTATTAAGTTCCTATCACCTTACTGTCATGTGTAATGTTTTAGCCTGAGCTTCTGCCCAGTATATACTCATGTATGTGTCAAGTTGTACTGTTTGTTTTGGCCACAGCAAGTCCATTGACCTTCATGCCTACCATCTTGTTCAAAGGACATCAGCTATGAAGGTCAAGGCAGTGAATACTATGACCAACTAGCTGCTTATCACATTACTTTGTCACAAAAGTAAAAACAGTATTTTTTACCTTGCACTTGTGTCTGTACCTTGCCCTCTGTTGTACTTGCCATTGTGCTGATACCTTGTCATGACCTTGTACCTGGCCCTGTTCTGGATTGACCTTAGTGTCAGTTCCTGAAACACACATTAAAACACATTACTACTGAAGACAAGATAATATGCAAACACTGATCGTATCAGATAAAAACTGGATGTGAGCAGGGTTTTTCCATGCTTCAAACATTTAAGGGTCAACATGATTGTTATTTTTATATAATTCCACGATATTATTAACAATTATACCATTTCTCAAAAGAATTTGTAAGAAGACTTAACTTTGGTCTTGTGTCTTTACGTTAATATTTAATTTAGGTTACAGGAAATAATTCAACTGACCAGAACCATGCACCATTTACCATATTTTCAGTTACAGGAAAACAGCGTTGTAGAATGTGATGTATATTGTACACCCATTAGGGGCTAAAACAAGGACTGGTCAGCTCGGGGCAGTATACTGTGTCTGAGTGGGGTATTCATGGTAAACTGTGGCATGGCATCTCACTGGGCTAGCGCCATAAATCGGCATCAGTCCGGACTAATACAAGCAGCCACACCCACCCCCACACCCACACCCACATACAATGAACCTACAAACAAATATATGTTCAATGTAATAATTTGACTGATAACAATAGGTGAAAGTTGTTGTTATGCCAACTGTAAGTCAATATTTGGTTTATTTATGAAGTAGCATTGCTTCATAGCATCTCCCTTTTCATGATAACAGATTGTTGGAAGAAAAAAGATACTTTTCAAAATATTTCAAAGCTAAACACTTACCAGTACTGTAACAAAGTGTTAAGCATGTCTATATAATCTTAGCATATACTTTTATTTAGATGATTATTCAAAGCAAAGAACTTGCTTGCCAGTCCTGGGTCTTAAGTTGGTTATGTGCAGTCTAGTGTCCTCATCTGTTTCATATCTCAGTTCATTAATTTGGTTACATTTAATTGCATACCCACTTTCAGTTTACCTTTCAGTTGGGGTGTAACGATACATCAGACTATCGATGTATTGCAATAGTAAGTGCCCCAATATCAATTTATCGATGGGAGTCATGATTTGCAATCGATACTATCGATTTAATTGTCGAATATCGATAGTTTCAATAGTGTACATACTTGTTTTATTTCATAGCACTTTAGTGTTGTCTTTATGAAAAGCTGAAAACGTATTCTGATTGAATAGCACACAGTACAGTGATCCCTTGCTACAACGCTACCTGCGGGGTATAAATAATTGATGAGCGTTATAGATGATCAGCAGTTAAACGAAGGTCAACAATAGTTATTGCAATAACATCTCTCATATCAATAGTTATTGCAATAATTGTTTGCAATAGTTATTGATATTGCAATAGTCTTTTTGGCTTAATAGTCCCCCCTACTTTCAGGTGTCGCTTGGTATGCAGATAAGGGAGGTATTCAGCAAAGAATTGAGGCGACACAGTTGTGGGGTCCAGATCCTTTCCATTACAAAAGGTTCCAGAGGAACGCCACCTATCATCATAAAGGTCTCGGGTCAAAGGTCAATGTGCCACAGCAACCCTGCTCAATATTGCCCCTTGCGCTCTTAAGATGAGTCAGTCTGAGATCGGGGAGACAAAAGATGCGATCTGGTAGTTCTGGCAAGTGGCGACAAGGGCAATGTTGGGATGACCTAGGCACTTACACACGAGATGAAAACCTCAGGAGGAAGCTTCCATTCCGAGGGAGCTACCCTGTCTGGCCCGAACGGTCCAACATCGGGGAATGTGCTGGACGAGAACACGTATGCCCTGCCGATCTACCAGATGCAAGACCCGGAATGTCTGTTGAAGGATGGGGTGAGAGTGTGTCGTCCCCTGATGGTGCAGGCACCAGGCCACCATGAGGTTGTTGGTGGAGATGGCGAGTTGAGTGTACTGGAGGTGCTCCTGCCAGTGTGATATGGCCTGAGCGCCTTCAACTCCGAGTTGTTGATGTGCCAAGTGCACAGGACGACAGTCCCGAGGTCGTCTGCTGCTCTAGATGTGCACCTCACCCTGTAGAGGTGTCTACAAACAGGTGTTTGATGTTTGATGTTTGACTCTACTGTCCACCAGCTGAAATGGCTCCTGAGGTGAGGGGGTAGAGCAACAGATAGGCCAAGGATCCTGACCTCTTATGTAAAGCGGAATTAACTGTTGGATTGGACCAAGTGTAGTCAACCTCAGCTTGTCACACCCTTGGCTGACGTGAGCATTCCCAGGAGCACTTGCCACTGAAAAAGTGTAAGCCGTTGAAGAGTGGATGGGAGATGTTAGATTCGGCTGACTATAATACTGTAAAGTTGAAAGGTCCAGGTGGGTCTCTGATCGTGTTGTGCCATGACGATACTTGGAAAATGTCTTCATCAGCCAAATCCCATGTAGACAAAATCAACCCGCTCCTCAACCATTCACCGAGACATTGATGTACCAGGGTGCCATGTAAGCACTCCCATTCTTATTTTGAGGTGACCATGAAGGGAGGTGCCTCATTATCTAAGGCTGTCAGATTTGTCATGGGAAGAATTAAAATATCGACGTATCTAGTCGTTAAGGCTGAACATAGATAATTCCTTTGTCTGAAAGATTGTACAGTACAAAGAAAGGTGATCATTTCCATACCCTGGGAGTCGTATAAGCGCTTCCATTCTTATATCAAGGGGACGATGAAGCGTGGTGGCTTGTTACTCTGCCTGTTGGCATCGGAGGCTATTCCTGCATGTAAACAACAATGGCGACTTTGTTGTCCCTGATAAAATTTAACGATCTTGTGAAGATTGATGGATAATTGGTTGGAAGAGTAGTGAACATAATACACCCATTGACCAGTTTCAACGTCTTTGTGGTAAAAACTGACACGGGTGAGCAACAAGTCCCTTGTTATAGGCTACGCGTGATTCTGCCACTCTCCAACATTTTGGAAAAGCTGAATGAGCAATGCCCAATCAAAGTTATCCCTCCCACTGAACTTAACACGATCATTTGCCAGGTTTTCATTGGCGTTAGGAAACAGGATGGTTCCGATTACAAAACAAGCTCACTCATTGGATTCAGGGGCAGTTTAGATTGTCACTTAAAATGCAAAGATTATGGCTTCTCACTTTCAGATTCAATTGAATTTTCCAAAATGCAGGATGTCATCAAGTCAAAAACAAAATCACTAAAAAGCAGGGAAAGGGTTAACCTACCTTACAGAGAGGAACCTATTTCCAACAGTGAAATAAAACAACTCCGAGATGCAGGCCAGCTTGGCACTAACACACCTGAATCCATATTAAACACTCTATGGTGGAACAATACAATTTTTGCGGTCTACGGTCAATAACTCCACACAGAAGAATGACTTGGGGGGGGGGGGGGGATGTTCAGTTGAATCGAGATTCTGATAACCATGAATTCATTGAGTATGTTGAACGGCAATCCAAAACCAGAACCGGAGGCGACCCCATGGTTGTTCCTGCTGTGACACCCAGGGCCTGGGCCCAACCCAATGACCCCTCATGTTGTCCAGTCAACGTGAAGAAGGTGTTCCGCTACTTAAGACCCAGCAATTTTTCGGGGAAGGGAAGATCCCTTCTATCTTGCAGCAAACACAAGAGGGTGTCCCAAATCTGGCAAATCCTGGTTCAAAAGGCAGTCATGGTGCTATAATAAAAAACATGGCTTCCAAAGCCAACCTTTCATCCGCCAAACGCGTCAGTAATCACAGTGCTAGGAAACACATGATAGAATCAATGTCCAGTAAGGTCGTTCCAGCCCACCAAATAATGCAAGTGTCTGGGCACAAAAATATACATTCTATAAACACATATTGACAATTCACTGAAGATCAACACCGTCGTATCTCCCAATACTTTGTCCAATACCAGTGCACACTGTCAAGATCACAATGTCATTTTAATTTGGTTTAACTGTATGGGTTGTGTGCTTGAGAGTGGTCTGACAGGAGTGGTTGAACTGTAAGTGATTATGACTGTGAAGTTATGTAAGCTGGTTGAAGTGAGTGGATGGGCTTGCATGCTTTGCTTGATTTGTACATATAACCATCATGCTATTTGGACAATTTGAATCTTAATTCTGGGCAGTCACTGGAGAAACGTTGACCAGGTTGGTCTGTGTGTCTGGAGTGTGTGTCATGCTTAGACCCTGTGGTTTGTGTGATGTCCCTAGCTTTCGTGGCGTGAGTGTTATACTTTTAATGATTGTATTGTTTGTACGCATTATGTCTTCTTTAATAATTTGTAAATATATGCAGTATGTCATTTGAGATTGGAATTTACATAATTGTGTATACAGTCTATACCTCACAAAGTCGGACATATGAGCCTCGCTTCGGCGCCAATGTAGTACGTCCTGTCAAATAGTACATAAACATCACTTTATAAGTTCTAACTACGACATGTAGTTTCATGTCACTGTAACTGTACCTTTGGGCTAGCAAAGTAAGTCTGCCTGCAGTAAGTTGGGGTCAGTGCAGTTGATAAAGGTTATTTGAGCAAGGCACATTTGTATGTAAATAACCTCTCATTGACGTTGGTTTAAGCTAGGCATGTTGAAAAACTTTGTTATTTGAGTAAAACAATGTCAGCTTACCATATGTAAGTTACTCCATTATGTATGTAAACGCATTCTTGGTTGTTATAGGAATGGTATCAGACACTGTTAGTAATGTGTCTTTGGTTGTGTAGTGTCCGGGACTCGTAGCTTGGACTGGCACGGGACTCGTAGCAAGACGTATGGATGCAGCTCACGGTCAAGCGACGTGAGGGCGTAGCTCGGGGCACTCAAGGTGTAAGGGCTGCTCACCATCAGAAATAGCCGGCTTTGTGAAAGGCTAATATGTATGTATGTTTGTTTGTTTGTTGTTTAACGCCGAACTCAGCAATATTCCAGCTATATGACGGTGGTCTGTAAGTAATCGAGTCTGGACCAGACAATCCAGTGATTGATATCATGAGCATTGATCCACGCAATTGGGATCGATGACATGCGTAACATCTTGAGGTAGATTGTGGTTCCAAAGAAGTGAACAGGGGTATATACTTGAATTGTAAATGTGTTGAAATAATTGCTACAGCTCCAAGTGAACTTGTTCAGTTGCGTAGCAGCATTGGTACAATTATATTTCGCTATCTATCTATGTCCTGTTTATTATGTATGCCTAGGTAATAGATTATAGATAGGAACTAGGAGTACGATAGTGGCGGAAATATGGAAGCCGTATGAGAGATGATGAGAGTGTGAGCAAGCTGTGTGGGCAGTGTTGGAGTAACGAGTGTATGAGCATGGGATATTCAGGAAATTTTGGTTTAAGGTCAAGGCCACGTCACATTCCAAAGGAAGGCAGAATAGCGGAGAAATTTAGAAGTAAATGGGTTCGTCAAGTGGCTGTCCCCCTGGACACAAAAATGGACAAGTTGTGAAGTCATGATACTAGACGAGTTTGAGGTAGTCTACCAAGGGTGCAAGCAGATTAACACTCTAATTGCTAAAAAACAATAGAACAGGTAGAACAGCGAAAGAAATAAGCACTAAACATGCATCCTTAAGGAAGAGGAGCAGGGTTTTAGCCTGGCTATGGATAGTTCAACTGAACCCCTAGTGGGTGAAGGAGAGATTGAAGAAACTCCAAGAGAGATAACTGATGATCAAAGACGGTAGCAATTCTGAATTTACTATGAGAAGGTTAAGGACACAATGTGTGACAACCCACATGGCTGTAGCTCTGCTGCATGATTGTTTAGCTGGACATGCATCTGTAGAGGATTATGATGACATGCTTGTTCAGCTAGGGCGAATGACAAACAGGGCAGAATAACAAAGGAAGAAAAGGCAAAATGTCAGGCAAAGGCAATCTATGGGGGGCCGATCTCAGGGGCAAAGTGGCGGAATTTCGAAGGGTGCAACAGCTCTGGGCATATAATCAAAAGTGGCAGAAATCCTTGATGGCAAACAGGATACTTCATGTCCGTTACCTATTGCCTAAATAGAAGGTGCATACAAGAAAAGGTTCGAGGGTGACTCCATCGAAGTTGATCTTACTGGCTACCCTGTTCCTGGCAAGTTGATTGACAACTCTGACATACTGAAACCAATTGAACCTAGGGAGATGCTTTCTGACGTGTCAAGGATGAAGATTGGGGGGGGGGGGGGGGGTAATGGTGCCACTTTGCAACTGCTTTTTGTTTGCCAGAACAATCCTTAACCAACTCAAGCCGAATAGGAGTATACTACTGCCGAAAGGGGGGGTGAGCCATAGGCAACTGGCGTCCACTCAATATTGCATCAGTCGCAGTAAGGTTATACACAAAGGTTCTCACTAGTAGGTTGCAAACATCAGTCACACTACATCCTAGACAACGTGGTTTCACTGGTGGTATTGGCGCAAGTAGTGGCATGGAAGGTCATTAAACTAACTTGGGCCTGGTCGAGATGTTTTGCCGGGATACTGGTCTAAAGCTAAACATGCGGAAGTCATACTGCTTCACTATCACACCCAAAGACGGGAAACAGACGTACACGGTGAACATGGAAGTGGCGGCGGTACTCGATGAAGGCGAAATCCCATGGATTGATCCAGGTACGTCAGTAAAGTACCTTGGCGCTCTTGTAGATCCGTGGGTAGGGACCACAGGAAGACCTGGACCCATTCGCTGATCAAATGGTGCAAAGGCATATCCTGAGTGCTGCTTAAACCCCGCCAAAAAGTGTGCCTCCTCACCAAGTACGCGATTCCCAGTCTCCAATATTCTCTTGCGACAGTGGGACCCGTTTATGGGTTGCTCGATCGCTTGGACAACATTGTGAAAGATAAAGTCACCTTCATCCAACAGTTGCATCGGCTTTTCTTTACACCTGTAGTAGAGACGGAGGATTAAAGTACTCACGGAAATGAAAAAAAACTGTTTTTCGACCTCAGATCTTAAATAAATGCAGTTAATATACAAAATATGTAAATATTCAAACAACTAAATTAGTACTAATTTGGCCGTGGCACAAATACAGCGTATCAAATGTTTTTATGCCTGTGTGTAAAAATGTGAATAATACAGACTATTGTGAAACAGGGCATGACCAGGTGTAAGTACATCAAGGTGACCTATGACACCTTGACGACAGGTGGGAAGAGGTACATAATACCTATAGTCTGTTTCTGCCATGTCAATTTGGACTTAGTTTTATTTTTGAATGTTGAAAGTGCAGACAAATTACCTCCTGTAAAGTACATTTTGTATTGTTCACTGAGATGAAACTAGCAAATCCAGACTAGTACTTTTTCGAGTTGTTTTGTTATTTCGTATTTACAGCTACGTAACACTTTGTGTCGATTTTTAAATTGAGAAAAACATTTGTTTTTTATTTCCGTGAGTACTTTAGGCCTCCCTTGTCTTTGGTACATGGTTCCATTTAGCATTGTGCAATCAAAAAGTCGGGTTATTTACTCTAAAGATCTGTTGCATACAATCAATGAAGAGATAATTGCGGAGGAGTGCCTTAGACGACTGGAAGATAAATGGGGGCTTCCTGAGTGCCATTCAGTCCAAGGGCTAGGCACATGTCTACTGAGGAACAATAAAGCATCGAACTGGTGGTTGCAGGGGGAGACCCTCTCAGAGTCCGAGTACTCACTGGCTATTAAGCTGTTCACCAACACCTACCCCACAAGGGAGGCGCTGCATCGGGGACGTGCGACAGGTGATGTGAAGTGCAGACAGTGTGTTTTTCATACAGAGACGCTTGGACATGTCAGTGGGCAAACGGAGCCGAAACAAATGACATAACAAGATATGCACCGCCGTACTGACTGCTGCCAAGCTCCATGGTTGGGCAGTATTGTCTGAACCCAGACTCGGTAAGAGGTGTGACGGTCCTATGGGACCCTAATAAGGGGGCCTTAGATGCGGTGACTAAGGAAAAGGTGAGAAAATATTTGCCATTCATACCATCAGTACTTGAAAGAACAGGAGCATCACAGTGCGAGATCTATGGCGAGGGGTAGCTGGTTGCCCAGAACCTACAAGGTACTCGAGGTCCATGGCATCCCAAGGTATAGTACCAAGTACTTTTGTCTCCTGACTTCTGTGCAACTCCATAAGGCTCTGATGATTGTTCATGGACCAGTAAGGAAGATCGAAGACGGTGATCCCAAATTGAACCAAATGAACGCCGCATCTTCATTTTGGAATCTTACTCAGGACTGAACAGGGACACGTGTGTGGTATCGGCAATATGAGTCAGATCGTCATCTTGGTAACACTGAAATATTGTACAGATAATCATAAGATTATTTTATGACAGTTATTCTAAATAACTCATACTTTGTTATATATGTATATGTATAGATAGAGATAGATATAGATAGATACATACTCAACAACAAAAGTTCCTGTGGCACCAATATTTTAGTGTATTTTTCAAACTTGTAAAGTTTGGTTTTCAGTATTGTAGTACGTGTATGGAATCAAGATACAAAAACGCAACTGATACAGAAAAAGCATGCATTCCATGCAAAAGTTGACCTTTGCAAGCCCAATACATTTCACTGTCCAAGAATGGGTATAAAACATGTGCGTTAACGGGATTCCATATGCATTGTTTAGCATCGTGCTGACAACAACCACTCAGAAAAACAACAAAATTACGCAATTATTCAACATTACGAAATGCCACGCCTGTCCGAAAATGAGCGCCTGCGAGCCATTGGTATGCTTGAAGCAGGATCGAGTCAACGTGATGTTGCAAGACAATTTAACGTCCACAGAAACACCATTTGGTGTTTATGGCAACGTTGGCAACAGACGAATGCAGTCTGAGACCATTCTCGGAGTGGCAGGCCAAGCGTAACCAATAATCGACAAGACAACTGGATTCAAACAACACACCTACAAACTCGATTCCAGCCAGCAACAGTGACTGCAAGAAGCATCCCTGGCCTTCGACAAATATCTTCACAAACCATACGTCGTCGCCCCAGATGTGCAGGGATTGTGCCAGAAGACCCGCCAGACGTCCTATTTTGACAGGAAACCACCGTCAAGCACGTCTACAGTTGTACAGACAGCGTCTACGCTGCACGGCCATGAAGTGGGGACAAGTTCTTTTCATTGACAAGTCTCGTTTTCACCTCAGCCACAGCGATGGAGGGATTTGAGTGTACCGACGTCGAGGTGAACATTACGTCAATCATTGTGTCATGGAAGAAGATCGGTTCAGGGGCGGCAGTGTTATGGTATGGGATTACAGCAAGACAGAGGACCCGTTTGATAGTGGTAGAGGGAAATCTCGATGGACAGCGCTACCGCGACGAGATCATCCATTTTTGCCGTTTCAACATGACAATGCCCGGCCCCTTATTGCTCGACTTGTTCAGGATACTCTTCAACAAAACGTGAATGTCGTCCCCTTGCCGGCTTGCTCTTCTGATCTCTCACCAATCGAGCACATGTGGGATGAAACATGCTCCAGCAGATATGGACAGATATCCAAGAGGACTTTGTGCGACGCCTGGTCCATTCCATGAAACGAAGATGTGTTGCTTGCATCGCAACCAGAGGTGGACACACGCTATTGATTTGTAAATTGACATTTTGGCATGTTCATGTTTTTTTATGAAATCACGCATTTTCTGAAGTCAGTATGGCAAATTAAACCATTTGAACACTTACAGGAGTCTTTTATCTGTTGCAAACCGAAATTGTTTCAGATTTGGTAAAAAATCATAACTTTGCATTAAATCTTATTCAATATCACAGGAACTTTTGTTGTTCAGTATACATGTAGTCAGTCGAATGATTCATCAAGGTAAATTATCTGGATGCCCTGACAGTGGCAGTTATTAATTGGTTCGGAGATAATGTGACCTCATAGACAGGATGGAATATTTTCCCCTGAAAAGTGCTTGGTCATTGCCACGGGCAGTGTATTGAAATCCCATCTCTTGAAAAGCAATAGTTAGTGCAGTCTGGGAAACATTAATTGTATCTTTAATTCCTCCCAAATTCTACTACAAGTCAGGGTTACCTTCTGCTCATAAAGCTTTACACTATATGCCTAATCACCCCGTATCAAAGCTGTCTAATATCCTTTTGTGTCCCGGTTTTGTTTTTGAGACCGCCCCTATACTGTCTAGTTTCCTTATCATACAGTAGACTTGATGGTATGAATTGAAGAGTTGGGCAATCTAAATTAATAAATGGTTTCCCTCTATCTCTCTAAAGTGTAAAGAACTTGTATACATTTCCAAGTACAGACTCCAGATCGTGTACCATGGTTATGGGTATGCAAGTGTAATGTAACATGCCTCATTGGAGCAAGGTTAACAAACCAAACACAGCGTCATTTTGTCATTTAGAAGATGCACATATAGAATTTTCTCAAAATGTTTTTGTGTGTGGATTAGATGTTTTATGAAGACTACATAATAATCATTATAACGCAGTCACGTGCGCATATTTCTATAGTCTGTTTCAGATTGCCATCATTGGACTTAGAATTAATGTGAACTTCGGTCGAATTTGCCTCCTGTAAACTTGTCGATGGGACTCCTTGTGACTGAAATACTTCAAACCACAGGTAGGGCGATCGGTAGTTTCTTGATATTTCAGTAACAGTCTTTGGAAAATTATATCTTTTTTAACAGGCAAAAAGCAGTTTTCTAGCATTTCCGACAGTACTTTAGGGCGTATCCCCTGTTTATTTCCGGCGAGTAAATAAACAGAAGGTATTATTGCATTATACCTAAGAATCTATTCCTCTATACAAGGCATATTGTTTTTGTAGAATGGATTGGAATGAAACAACCACTAACCTGAAACACATCTTGGCGAGTGAGATGAACAAAGACATCGCTCTACCAGAGGGTACAGTTGACAGGATGGAACTGGGATGCTCTCAAGAAGGGGACACCACAATGAAGGTCTGCAACAAGCCTATGATTGATCAAGAGATTGACTACCTCTTACAGATTGGAATCGGTGCAAGAACTATATCACGAATATTATCGCAGAATACTAGGTGGTATTGCACTTATATAGCGACGTGCATGCACATGTATCTGTGTGTGTGGCTGCTTGTACTAGTCCGGACCAATTATAGTGCTAGCTCACTGAGATACCATGCCGCAGTTTAACATGAATACCCCACTCAGACACAATATACTGACTCCGAGCCGACCAGTCCTTGTTTTAGCCCCTTAATGCCGAGCGCCAGACAGGGTAACAACAAGTATAATCGTATGATGCGGCTCGGGATTGAACCCCGGACGTTCCACTTTCCGGACTCTACCACTAGACCACGGGGGTGGTCCACAGAATACTAAGATATATCTCATTATCATTATTTTTCTCCCATTTTGTATTCCCTTCTCGTGGGAAATAGTGCTGTCATATGGTGATATGACAGCACGGTAGTATAGAAATATACATATCAATTTTTCTATATACTTTTTCAATGTCGGGGAGTTCGCATAGCCTCATACGGAGGTTAGAAGAATAGTTCTATGTATATATGTACCAATTTTAATTTCCAAAGATATTCTAATATGATATGTCTCGAGTAATATACTCCTTCATACGGCTTTGTTACAAGTTTTAATATAAAATATACCCCATATCTTTTCATTCATGCAACAAACGCATCATATTTTATAATACCAAGGCGCCGCCCAACACCAAGGCCTTGGAGGCAACAGAATATATCTCTGAAAAGCACATACTTAAAAGTTTTCATGGTGTTGGTTTATATATATATATTTATATATATTTATATATATTTATATTTGTATCCATCCGTAACTGACAAATATTTGTTTTTCAATTATCCATCATTGAGGGGATCTGCATTTGTTTGCATCCACGAAAATTGAAACATGACAAATAGGACTCGACATACATGCTGGTGGCGGTAATAGTTTTAATATAATCATAGTCTCGAAAAAAGCTAATGTCCACAATAACAATAATACTCTGTGTAAACAAACTCACATAATATAAAAATGTAAACACAATTGAGCATGAGAAAATAAAACATGCTCAATAAACTGTTAACAGTTCTATATACAGTGATCCCTCGCTACAACGCTACCTTCAGGGTCCAAATAATTGATGAGCATTATAGATGATCAGCGAATTAAACGAGTCGTAGTTAAAAGGTGGTAGGTGGTAGATGACCAACAAAACAGTATACATGCTCTGCCTACCTAACACGATCTACGTTGCACGTTTCAGAGTTTCAAAAAAGATTAGAATAGAAGTTATTTATGATTGTGGAAAAAAATTGTCGAGTATTAATATGCGCTTTAAAAAAACCCACGAACTTGTTCAATAAATGTATGAAAATTGAAATAAAACATCACAAGTCATGATGATTTATCATTTAAAATGTATTTCCTGCTTTCCAAGGCATTTTTTTATATGCAGAGATTAAGATTACCATGTGTATTTTCTTGTAAACTAAGCCGGAAATAGCAATCAGCTGTGCACACGTTTCCTCCCAATCTACCGGTGATTCAGTTAAAACGTACCCAATGATACAACTTCAAAGAATTTGGATGCAATATGGTCGGAAGAAATTGTATCTGAAATTATTATTTTATCAGGGATAATATATTCCAATATCGTGTTTTTTAGTCGCAGCTTCCAACATAGATACTTAAAATTATAAGAACCATAAGCGTTGCCCTTTGGTACAGATGGTATGCCGGATATATTTTGACATATGGAACGATTTTGACCAGTCACCGTAGGGACTTCCTGCGCTACATGTATTTCAATTGCAAAAACGTTATGTTGACATTTAATGCTCAAACTGCCTCAAATATGACTTTAGCAAGTCATGGTACGGCATTTATGATATGTGTATCCATTCTCTTGCAACTAAAGTTTGTTTCAAGGCGTCAATAGCGGTAATCTGGTTGCTTTAAATAACAGTGAGTTGTGCGATCTACCGATCACTTCGCATGCGATTTAGCCGTAATTATTGTAAACATTATTATAATTATAGAATGAAATTTTGAATATAATTAATAAAATATATTGCAAACACCCAGTCCAGATAAACAATGAACAATTTTTTTATTACCAGATATTATAATAATAGGATTAAATTGCGTACTTCAGTATGGATTTGTTGACTGGTATTTTCGGTGTTACATGATCAAGGTGATCAGCTGATAATGTTTTCTGAGATGGGGAAAACATTGGGTCATTGGAAAAGTTGAGTTTATTAAAAATGTTATTAAATTTTGGGAGCCATGCTTTACCGCTACATCGAAGAGCGCAATAACGAGGGACCACTGTATTGTCTTTTATACCATGTGGAACAAGGAACCGGATCACATCTTGTCAATAACATATTACCCGTTACTGTAATCTGACATCATGGGATGTACAGACTATTCACTCAGACGACAAATGAGTTTTCATCCCTCAATAAAAACTCTATTTTTTTATGTTACACCATATTTTCTCTCAATATGGGAAACATCCTGTCGAGGCAGTTGAATTTCTTTTCCGAAAATGACTTGTTCATTGCCTGATAGGTACACACTGTTCCAACTTGAGCTCAACAAAAATGGGTTGGAATGCCGTCCCGACATGAAAGCCTTCTTATAAGCTGGAAATGACAGCTTGGAATCCTCAGCGGGGAAAGAAGACCCTGTTGAGCTTGACTTCAGTTAGGCATTGTGAAGCGACATGAAAGGTGTAGCATAGGTGGGAGTGCAGCAATGTACGCAGTTGAAATACCACTACTTTCATCGTTTCTTTACTTGTTCAGTGGAGTAGGAGACGTGGCCTTCGTGGGCACAGTTCCTGGCTTTAAGACCGTCAGCCTCGGCGGCTGGGCGACCCGTTCTGAAGTTTGACAGGGGCAGTACATCTGTCAAAGGGTAATGCAGGTGTCCTAAGGCGAGCTAAGCGAGGAAAAAAACCTCGCATAGAGCATAAGGGCGCGCTTGATTTTGATTTTCAGTACGATTACAGACCATGAAAGCCTGTCCCTTTGAGACAGTATGTCAATTTATTGTCACACTTTAAAAGTTACCACAGGGATAACTGACTTATGGCTGCCAAGTGTTCATTGCATTGTTGCTTTTTTATCCCTCGATGTTGGCTATTCCTATCATTGGGTCAAGAACTGATCAACTTAGAGTATCGTTATCTGATCAAGTTTTATCTCTCTGTTCACCTTGCTGTACGGACTGGCCAGGGGTCAAAGCAATGGGTGACCAGTCAGTCAGTCGACAGTAACAAGATGTTTACTACATTTTGGCTTGGAAATGATCCTTCTGCAGGCAAAAGTTTAAGGTCAAAACTCTGCATAAATAGCAAGGTGATTTGGCAAAACAGGGAGACACTTCAAGACCACAGACGGAGATACTTCTCGTGAATAAAGGTATTGAAAAATAGGATGTCCTCACAAATGCAAACGCAAATCAGTTTAAGCTAATTGCCTACTTGAGTAGCTCGGGTGCAGGGAGCCTTTTTTTATTCACAGGTGTATGAATGACCATGATCAAGTAGCATGAGAAGAACTAAAAGTAGAATTTAGAATTATCAAGGCGTTTCACCTCAATTTACAGACCCACAGCATGCACTCATGCTGCTTAGGTCATTGAGACAAAAATCGGGGGAGAGTGTACAAATGTTTCCGGAAAGACTCCTGAATTTAGCAGAAGAGGCACATGCTGTATTAGGACAAGATGGCAATGGCATGGCGGTCGAGAGATAGTTGGTAGGATTTTTCATTGATGGTTTGGCACATGGTTTCTAAAAAAAGAAAGTAATTAGGGAAAACCTTGACATCAGCCACTCACGAGCAGAACATTTGGTTCCAATTTGACATTGGTTCATGACATGAAAAAAGTGAAGCAGAGACAAGCAAAATATGCTGACATAAAGAGTAAACGAGTGAGTGAGTGAGTTGGGTTTAACACCGCTTTTAACAGTATTCCAGTTATATCACAGCATGTCAGCTTAATATGGGAGGAAAGCCAGAAGTGATGCAGGTCTCAGACGTTTACCACTTCGGTGAAACCCATGAGCACGGGTATGGTGCTGACAAACCTAGAAACATAATCGGGGCGAACCAGGATTTGAACCCACAATCATAGGTTTCTGGCATGTTCAAGGGACGCAACTCTGCACAGCCAATCGCGGCGCCTTAGACGACTGGGCAACCCGTGCCCCCACAGAAAGAGTGAACCCAACCTTATCAAAGTGGGAGATCCCGTCAACTACAGGTCCTATCAGGGAAAGATTTTGGTTTGATGTTTTACGCCGCACTCAGCAATATTCCAACTATATGACGGCAGTCTGTAAATAATCGAGTAGGGACTAGACAATCCAGTGATAGACATCATGAGCATCCAGACCACCCGATCCTGTTAGTCGCTTCTTACGACAAGCATAGTCGCCTTTTACGGCAAGCATGGGTTGCTGAAGTCCTATTCTACCCCGGATCTTCACGGGTCCATCAGAGGAAGAGTAAGCTCCAGAGTAATAGACCAAATGTCACCTGTAACATTCATAATCCGTAGTCAACTTGATGGAATAACCACGAAGGCACAAGCAGAACACGTCAGAATTGCAGACATAGAAGAATGGGACATCCCAAAGATAGTGGGCATCCCAAAAGAAGAACTCACCCCAGGAAAGGTTGCATTTCCAAGGACGGAGATTACATCGCCCTGGCAGAACTAGCTTAGCGATTAAATGTCAAGAAGTCAAACTCCCACTCATATGCCAAGTGAGCATTGTGATTCTGACTGATCCACAGACAGACAATCTGACACAAAACAGTCTGATCAAGAGGACATGGTGGTCAAAATTTTAAACTGTACACCCCCAGTAGCCAACAAGGCAGTGACTAGCAGCAAGTCCATGACAGATGGCAAGGTTAGAAGTCCGCAGGAGGCTGTAGCAAAACTATTAAGAGGCTTCATAGTAGTTCACATCTCCTCAGCAGTTTGATACAAGAATACTGTAAATCTTAAAATTAACATGAGCGCATTAATGAAACATTGCATTTATGTTTCCAGAATGACTATCAACAATAAGACGGCCTCACTGCACACTTTGTATAGCTAAAATACCAACTTGAATATGATACACAAACACAGTTAAGTTGTAACAAGTATATAACAATGTCATTCAAAGAATAGGAATTACAGAATAGGCATCCAGTGATGGGGTCAAGAGTTCTACCCACTTGTGTCAAACTTGGCATCACTGACCACACCAGCAGTCCAGACAGACACTACCCACGCAACATTTCATCAAAGGCTGACACGACTCAGCGCGCACCGATTGGCTTCATCACACCCCTCAGATATACAGCCTTTGTCTTGTCATCTGCTTTCAAGTTTGCTGACACCTTCTGCCTTTTTGAGATGCATTAATTTCAAGATTTAAGGTATGATAGGTGTGTACAGATTTTTACAAACCTGTAGAGGTTATGAATTCTCTGATGAAATCCTCCATGGGGCACTTATTGCATTTTCCTTGCTCAAGAAAATCTACATGACATAGTTGAAACCATTTTTCCTTAATAAAAAATGTTACCACACAAAAAACTTCGTTTTTGTATGATATACAACCACCTTTACAGTGCCTCACCCTCCACGGCGCCCCACGCCAGGGGGAGTAACTCTCACCCAAAACACTTTCCATATGTCTAATACTGACGGAATGTGGGGAGGTGGGTGGCCGTGCCCCAAGGAGAATTCATAACCTCTACAGGTTTGTAAAATTCTCTTTCAGATTAAATCTTCCTTGGGGCACTTATTGCATCAAGATAGACTCCTGAAGATAATCTAGGAAGTGGCATCCGTCAGCAACAAGTGTAAATAAATACATCGTATTCTGATTATTTCAATGAATAAAAAAGAGTTCAATAAATGGAACCAACCTTATCGTGAGGCACCACCGTCGAGAGGCGGGGGCTAGAGACAGGGCGTGGTCGACCATATACTATGAAATAACCAGTAATGTGTGGCTTATCATAAATCAAGAACTTGAAACCTTCCCCCCCACCCCCAAGACATGAGCATGTCTTGCAGTGGTCCCCGACGAGGAAGGCTGTGAAAGAGCAGGTAGCTCAATAGGAGCCATTCATGTGGAAGGCGTGTGCGACCTTAGGACGGTAAGAGTCCGGCAGCCGAATACTGACTCTGTCCCGGTGGAAGACAGTTAGTTCGGGATTGGCTGAAATTGCATAAATGTCGCCTACCCGTCTGCCGGACGTTACCGCCACAAGGAACGCCATCTTCCAGCTCAACAGCTGAAGAGAGAGAGACGACAGATCCTGAAAGGAAGGACTGGACAGCCAATCAAGAACGATTGACAAGTCTCAAGGGGGACTGATCCGCCGAGAGGCGGTCTGATCCTGTCCACACCAGCTAAAAAGCGCTGCATTAATGGGTGTGCACCCAGAAGTGCCCCGTCGACAGGGACATGAAAAGCTGCAATAGCTGTAGAGTACCCCTGGACTGTCGATGCAGCCAGGCCGTCATCTAGTCGCAACTGGAGGAACGCGAGCACCGCTACGAGGTCTTCAGAAAAGGGATCTGCAATCCCTCTATCGACACACTAGCGCACACCCATCTATCCTTGTACTGAACGTTTGTCGAATCCCTCCGCGAAGCCAGTATTGTGTCTGCAACTCGTGCAGGAATACTGCTCTTCTGGAGGGGATTCCTGACAGTGGCCAAGCCACCCATTGAATCCTGGGATTGGGGTGGAGGGCCCTGTTCTGGGATAGGAGGTCCGGTCGTAAAGGTAATAGAACAGGAGACTGAGCCAGAAACCTGAGTATTACTGGAAACCAACTCTGCGCCGACCAAAGAGGTGCCAGGAGCACAAGTAGTCGCGCAGGCTGAGTGGCTAGCTGAGATAGGACCTTGGAAATCAGAGGGACTGGCGGGAATGCCCACAGAACTCTGTTCGTCCAATCTAGCTGGAAGGCGTCCAGTGCCACCGACCTCGGGTCCGGGACTCGGGAGCAGAACGTTTGTGTCTAGTGATTCACCCCAGACGCAAACAGATCCACCTGGAACGACCTGTATTACCGGGAGATAATCCCGAATATCCCCGGGTCGAGCCTCCACTCGTGAGGAGTGAGGATCCGGCGATACAGAGCATCCGCACAGACGTTGTCCACCCCCGGGAGATAAACAGGTATCACCCTGATATCGTGAGTGTCGCACCATAGGAGGAACTGTCACGTCTCTTGGAGAAGCGACGGAGACACATGTTCCCCCCTGCTTCCGGATGTAAGTCATCGCCGTTTGGTTGTCCATCTCTAGACGAACCACTTGGCCACGAAGCAGATCCAGGAAGCGTTGGAACACCAACCTGACCGCTCTCAGTTCTAGCACATTGATGTGCAGTTTGATCTCCTGCTGGGACCATAGTCCCGAGGCAGTGTGATTGTTCAGAACGCCTCCCCAGCCAGAGAGTGACGCGTCTGTTTGAACTGTGAGAGACTGAACAGGAGTGTCGAGGGAGTGCCCCTGGGACAGATTCCCGACCACGGTCCACCACTGAAGGTGTGTAATGAGCCACTGCGGAGTCTCAAGAACAGTCTCAAGATCTTCCGACTTCACCCAAAGTCAATGGAGCGCTTGCTGAATGGGTCTCATTCTCAAGCGCGCCCGCCAAACCACATCCACTGTCGCCGCCATGTTGCCCAGTAACTGGAGCCATGTACAAGCAGTGTGTTTTGTGGACAGAAGGAACTGGGAAGTAACACTTCTGACCTTGAC